CTTGTAATAATCACATTCTATACGTGTGTCAGGAAACAAATTGCCATTGCTCCATGTAAAACATCGCTTTGTTTTGTCAATATCACTAACTAGTGTAGCATTGTCATCCCCGGTCGACTGCGTCGACCGGGGATGACAATAGTGATGACATTATGCCTTCTTAATCAAATGTGTCACCAGTACTAAATTAATATTAAATTTGAATTATTAATTAATCAATGGTTGTGTTTCTTCTGCAATACGTTGAAGTCTTTCGTACTCTAATTACATTAGGGCCTGTTGTGAAACCATTTTTGTGTAGTGCGCTGATATTGAGACTGTCCCAAATGATACAGTGGTGTGTTTTGTAGTGTGCTTTGGTACAGTACCCAACAACAGACTATTGCATTTTGCAAACACTTATCGCGGTATTGGACGATTGTTATTGTCTCTATTTTTAAAACGACAACTTTTTTGGTTAAAGGTCAATATGGGCCCTCCATACGGTAACGGAGCAACTCTTATCTGTCTCTGACTGCCTTTTTATCCTGCCAAGCGGTTATCTAAACCTAATAAGCATGACGACAATGATTAATCATAATCTAACGATTATTCTGTATCTTAAAGAATGTGACCATATACAGTGTGGGTAGATAAAGTCTCCGGACAGTTTTGTACTTAAATTTTCTCGAAAACGTACATAATAATTGGGCATGAACTTTTAGTTTAAGTTTGAAGTACTAATATTTAGTTGGCCATCCCTCGCTTGTGATGCAAGCTTGCACTCTTTTCGACATGCTCTATTAGATTTAGATATGTACATTCCGGAATTCGCTCCCATTCCTCCTTCAAAGCCGCAATTAATTCACCTTTGTTTTTTGGCAATACTTTCCGCCTGTCCAATTTATCCCATAAATGTTCTATAGGATTAAGATTAGGCAACTAGGGCTACTTTTCCGTAACCCAATAATTTCAGCTCGCTTAAATTCTGAGTTCCATTGTAACTTTATTTTATGTCAGTTGATATTAAAACAAAAATCTACATTACGCGTCACGAAAATTTTATGCCCAATTATTATGTAAGTTTTCGAGAAACTTTAAGTACAAAACTGTCCGTAGACTTTTGTCTACCCACTGTAAAATACAACATTGAAGCAAATGTCTTTACACTTTTTTATGGAAATTTGTTTGTATCAGCAAACATTAAATTCCAGACATCTTTTACAAAAATCGTTTATGCCCTAAAATTGGATACGAAAATTGATAATAATTGTTATCGGAAACTAGCTCTTTTGTGATACTCGAAAATTAACGAGGGAGCTATTTTTGATTACAAGTAGTTATATAAATCAGAAAAATTGGAATTATCTATCCCAATTTATGCCGCATGTCCAGAAACTTTTGTAAATGTCGTTTTTATGACTAGTTTGACTTCATAAAAATGTGTCTTCTTAGTAGCGAAAATCTAATCAAACATAGACTTGTATATTTATACAAATATACGAACTATCTCCCAATGTAGTAAATTGCTAACAACACCCAGTTGTATATCCTCTTTCACTAATATTAGTGTATGAGAACGGTTCTCAAGTATCTTACCATTGCTTCAGTCATTAGTTCTGCTTTATTATTCTCTTGTAAGCCGTTGCCTAATCGACGCCTATCCATACTCAGCGATGGTTTGAGTGGGTAAAAAATTTACTTATTCAACATTAATGTATGACGGAACATTATAACAAAGAGTATATTAATTACACACTCGTTTATTACATCCATACATTACACATCGAAATGTAGAACTATATATTTCGTGGAAAAAACTTACGCGAAAGATAACTTTGTCTTATAAAGACTTTTGCTTCAAACTGCCAGGAGACTTGTTTTGTTTTCAACATAAAAATGTTCACACAACACAGCTTTACCCGTTGAAAGACTATTTTATAGGAAATATTAATACGCCTTCTTAGAAATTATTAAACTTGTCGATCGCTTGCCTTACTGTTACTACTACTAATATATTTCTTCAGGTGTAGAACAACCGAACAACTGTTGTTGTTTTTTTGACTAAATACATTTTCGCAGAAAAGTTTAACCAATATTTTTGTTACTACAAATTATCGAATAGAAAATAAAAACATCTAATTTAATAAACATGTGTATTATTACATTACGTGCGGCGGTACAGTATTAATAATAATGAAATAAACAAGATAATAAAATAATAAATATAATGTAAATGTGTTTTATTTGTGCGTTTTATACCACCACGGAATGGATCCCTGACTTGATATGTGCGCATATCGATTTGTCTGACAAACGCATTAGCTAAAACGATATTCAATTTTTATCTGGTCGATAATATGTTTTATTTTAATAAATATTTAGTAAATGCTTTGACAACATGCCCTATATGTTAAAATCTTTCTTATGTCAATTTTATGATCCTATACGGAATTACAGTTCCTTTTGACATGTAGGAATTATTTCTAATTAACTATGCGGTCTCTACTAATATCAACAATTTCTACTCACTAGCTATTTTTTCTTTTTTGAACAGTATTATACAACTCAATCTTTTCTCTTATTTTTTTCTTTACTTCTGATCCATTTTCATGAAAAGTATACACCTTGCTACGTGCTTTAGCATATCCCTGCTCAGCTGCTCTTTCATATAGTTCAACTGCCCTATGCATGTCTGCTTCTACTCCAATTCCATTTTCATAATACAGGCCAAGAATATATTGTGCATAAACATTTCCTTCTTTAGCTCTATCTTGATAAAATTAAATTATAGATTGGATATTTATATGTGATTCACCAATTTTACTATAATGGCTACGAGAATCACATACTACTGAATCATGTGCCAACTTAAGAGCTTTTTGATATAATTTATCAGCCCTTTGCTCATCCTTTTCTACTCCAAATCCGTTTGCATAACATATAGCGAGATTCAACTGAGAAATACAATCTCCTTGTTCAGCAGATTTTTGATATAATTCAACTGCTTTCTGTTCATTTTTTCCTACTCCGATTCCCATTTGATAATATGCTGCAAGATTAGTTCGTGCATGAGCATGTCCTTGTTCAACAGCTGCTTGATATAATTTAGCCGCCCGTTGTACATCTTTTTCTACTCCACTCCCAATTGCATAACATACACCAAGAGCATATTGAGCATCGGCCGATCCTAGTTCAGCAATTGCTTGATATAATTCAGCTGCTTTTTGTTCATCTTTTTCTACTCCATCTCCATCATAATAACACAGAGCAAGGTTAAGTAGAGCATCGGTATGCTCTTGTTCAGCTGCTTTTTGATATAATTCAACTGCTTTTTGTTCATCTTTTTCTACTCCATTTCCATTTTTACAACACAGAGCAAGATTATATTGAGCACCAGCATGTCCTTGTTTAGCTGCTTTTTTATACCATTCAACTGCTTTCTGTTCATCTTTTTCTACTCCAGTTTCATTTTCATAACACACACCAAGATTATATTGAGCGCTGGCATCTCCTTGTTCGGCTGCTTTTTGATACCATTCGACTGCTTTCTGTTTATCTTTTTCTACTCCAGTTCCATCTCTGTAACACACACCAAGATTATATTGAGCGCTGGCATGTCCTTGGTCAACTGCTTTTTTATACAATTCAACTGCTTTATGTTCATCTTTTTCTACGCCAGTTCCAGTATAATAACAATTAGCAAGGTTATGTTGAGCATTGGCAACTCCTTGTTCAGCTGCTTTTTTATACCATTTAACTGCCTTTTCTTCATCCTTTTCCACTCCAATTCCCAGCTGATAATAATAGCCGAGACAACATTGAGCCTTGGCATGTCCCCGTTCAGCAGCTGCACGATATAATTCAACTGCTTTTTGTTCATCTTTTTCTCTTTCGAAATCATGAGCAAGATTATACTGCACATAAGCAACCCCTCGCTCAACAGTTTTCTTATACAATTCATTTGTCAGTTTACTGCAGATGTCAATAAAAATATTACATTTCAGACCTAAACGACAAAGAAAGTAAGTTATGAGAAATGACAAATATTCCATTCTGGTAGAGTAATAATCAGATATAATATAACGAAGTTATTGTTTGAATCTGTGCGAAACATAATGTTTAGTATTTATAGAGTTGTGGCTTTATGTAAAGTTTTGATGCATTTAATGTAGTACTGTGTTCTTCGTTATACGACTCGACTCAATCTAACGACGCCAATACATTGTTGCATTAAATTAGTAATTCAAATCTAAACAACTTCCAAAAAAGGTATTCTGCCAAATAATTTTCCTACACATGTCACAGTTTAACCTCTTATTTCAATTCTCAACCCATGAATCTATTCATTGTTCTATTTTCTTCCGGTTGTTCGCCCGCCTCTCCGCTAAATATGGCTAGCATTGGATCAGTGCGATATACTGTAGTTTGAGGATGTTGAGAATTATTTCCTTTTTCTCGTTTGCTTCTCTCAGTTCTTCCGGTACAGTCTGAGTCGAATTGTTTTAAGTATGAATGAATTACATTCTATAAACACAATAAAAAATGAAAGTCAATGAACTACAATAATAATATCTTTATATTGAATAAATCAGAAACTTTGACACATGATTTAATTGTCATAGTCATAAAGTTCCATATACTTGGTAGGACTTGCGATAATCGATTGGAATTGTTTCAATTCGGCAGTCCCGGGCCACTTATTGTTTGTTGTAGTAAGATGTAAAATCCTGTTTTACTCTTGCAAATATTACTCCTCAATTAGAAGCAGATAGATAAAAAATAACTTTATCCGCGTTCTTGGAATTATTTCATGAGTGCCAATTTGATTATTGTTACCGCCAGTTGCAGCGGGAGGCACACCAGCGATGCCTTCTGATGGAGAAACCTTACTAATACGCCCAAGATTAATTTTGCAGGTGGAGGTTTATCCCATGAGCGAGGAAGTTATATGGACATTAGCCGTGTTGTTGATCATTAATCTTGTTTACCTCTTTCTGTGCATTACGGCAACATTTCCATTAATGTGTCATAGAGGCGGAAAGTATTTGGAGAAGAAGAGTTGAGACTACTGATGTATTTCCATGATTAAGGTTGATATTGCGATAGAGCAGCAAGGGGTTCGGTCCGGCATGACGCAGTCCGTAACTCCACTGAGGAGGGCCTTGTGGAATGATAAATACAATTAAACTCCTGGGCGATGAAGCTGAGATGTCCACATTGAATGGCAAAAGGCTGAGATAAAAAAATATTTGAGTAAATTTCGAGACTACAATGAATATAGAAAACTTGTACAGACCTTGTTGACAAAGCTTTGAATGCCAAGACGTAATAATTGTCTTGGCAACAGCCACCTAAATCGTTGACAGTAATCTTTTGAATGTTATTATTATCAGTATTAGGCTTTCTGCCGTTAGCTTGTGCAGTTTGTGGCTTGAAATCACGGCGGCGTTCCTTTTTGGGGGTGGTAGCCTCGAAACTGTCTATTATAATAATTATGCTGACATGCCAGCCTCGCTTGACGATGACACATCAACCAATTAAAATCTGCGAGCCAATTTTAGATCCTTGCCGAATAATAACAATTGTTTTATACTCTTCCGATTTTTCAAGCTGTCCGTGTGACGCTTTTTCATGAGCTAAAAATTCGCACTGTCGCACAAATGTCAGAATACGAAATTATTACTTGTCAAAATAATCTGGTTTGTTAAGTCAATTCCATGGTCCTAGAGTAATTATGTTCAAAATCCAATGTATTTTTACTTGCTTCTTCTTATTGTTATTAATGGCTTCTCAAAGCGTATAATATACTGCATCTACACCTTACAATCAATTAAAGGCGTAAGAACGAATAATTAAACCCCCTCCCCCGATAAATATATGGTAATCTACCTGTATAAACGTTATACTATTCTTTTAGCATGCAACCAAAATAATTGAATTTACCACATATGTTTTTGAGCCAAGATTAAATAATTTATACCTATAATATGAAATAAAGGCCTGGCATCGGTTTTGTGTGACAGATAACATTAATAAAAATTCATTAAGGTTCATGTGAAAATAATAAACAAATTCCAACTTAGTCGATGCCCCTGCTGCCCCTACCTATTTAAGGCAATAATTTCCAAATTTGATTAGGGTATCGAGCTGTTGAAGTTTTGACGGTATCGAGCTGTTGAGAAGGCTTGTAATTGCCTGTATTGCCAGTACTTTATGCGGCAAATAGCGTGTCGTGTAATCAGTATTAAGAGTTACCATGCTAATGCTTGACTTTATACTACATTAATTGCAAAAGAGCGATCGTCCGATTTTCAAATAACTGTTCACTAACGACACA